CTCAGTCCATGAGTGTTATCATTAAGCCAAGGTTCATATTTAGCTTTGGTTTTTTAAGATCCAAAAGGAATCTAAGAGTCTAAAGTCTCAGTACAGGATTAATAAAACAGTGACAATGATTCATCCACAGACTTATGATTGTCAAATAGAGAGCTGAGGCTTTAAAAGCCATAAAGAACTGGTCCACTGTAGAAAAGGTTATTATGCAATGTTGCTTAACAGACAGAGAGGGTTTAGTAGTAGAATAAGGTATCAGAATAGCAAATAAAATGGCCAGGTGCTCAGAGATCCTTGTGTCACAAGTCTGACAGTGACAGAGAGTCCAGAGAACAGCACCAAGTCCAGAGCATGACTGTGTTAGATTAAAAGAGATTCATAAAGATTCAAGAAGTCCTTCCCTATGGAATCAGGACAACACACATGAACACTAAAGTCACCAAGAAGTAGGATTTTATCAGTTTACAAAAATTTCCAGTAGAAACTCCAAAAACTACTGTCTAAAACCCTTATTGTAGGAGGACAATAAACTGCCCACACAGAATAGGGCGGTTTACCTCCGTCGCAAAGAGCTAATCACCAGCTGGCAGGGCAGGTGTCGGAAGCACGCTGGAGCCAATGACAGGAAAAGCTGAAGATCATCCAGGTTTTCCCCTGGCTCAAAAATACACTGTTTCTCCATTGAAGACTTGATAATCAAGAGAGCAAGACAATCATACACCAGCATAGATGAGGCACATCGAAAAGAAAAAGTCAGAAGCATAAAAACACAGACCACACATAGAAGGGACAGACGGCCAGCCACAGACACTGGCGCCATTTTGGATCAGAGCACACTACACTCATCTTTACAGGTTTTGCCTTTAGTTTCTGTAATGTCACCTACAGGTACACAGCTTTCTAAGAGCCAACTGCAGGAATCCTCATAAAAATGTTTATGCAATCTGTTTCTCTTAAAAAACAAATATTGACCAATAAATAATTTGATTTGGTTAAACTGTCAGATACTGTATCACTGAAGACTGAAAACATTTGTCACCTTTATGTAACTTTTTATTTTAAGACTGAGTGTTCTTTCTGGCTTTGGACTCCTTACCTGACTCCAAAGGAGAGCTGCACAGGAATTCCTATATGCCTAGACTGTCTGTCTATGCATAAATGGCAAATAAAAATCTTGGCTTGACTTGATAATTGCAAACATAAGAATACATCAGTGCTAGTCAACCCTGTCCTGGGAAAGAATGTTTTACAGCCTGATCCACCCTGGTCGTCTTCTGCAGATATGTATACACATCCTGCTTCCACTGTGTCCAGAAGTGACATCTGATTCCTCTCCGCTGCCGCCAAGTGTTCACTGAAGGGAGATTTGTTGGGTTTTCCTCTATAATATTAATAGTAATGTCTAGACCTTCCTTTGTAAAGTGTCCTGAGATTACATTTATTGTGGTTTGGTGCTTTACGAATAAACTGAAACCTTCCATCTGCAGGAGGAAAAGAAGCTGAGAAATGGAAAGGATAATGACACCACCCAGGGTTAGGTTGTAACTTAATATGTGACTGAAAGACAATGCTGAAACATCACTTTTACAAAATGTTTTAGATTCATCATCAGATGCTTTTCCTTACCTAGTTCAAGGGTTTGAGTTATCAGGAAACCTATTAGTTTTGTCATTTTTTTAGTAGTTAGTGATATTGTACTAAAGAAAACATTGGTTCTTACCAGACTTTTTTGGCTATTAAACTCCAGTCAGTCAGCATACCTCATTTATCACACCCCCTATTACTGTTGCTAACCCCCAACATGCTCAGAGCTGTGTCTGCCTGCTTGTATTTCATGTTGGGTGGTGACTAAGAGACACAGTGGCAGGCACAATCATTTTCTTTGTTTACATAAGACCTATCAAAACTATGTAATAACTACACAGACATATTTTAAATGAGTTGGAACCTGACTCATCAGCAGCTGCTGCTTGTCGATCACTTCATAACTGTGTTAGGAAAATCTTCTCTCTCATGTTCTGGAAAGAGTCAGATATCATTTAATGTGTCTTCTCAAACCATAGTACTGAAGTTGTTATGGTTTAGTCCCCCTCACCAGGAGGGTGAGGGAGAACTGGGGTTGGACTCAAGATGGCTGACCCAGGTGCTAGTACAAAAAAGGGAACAAAAAGAACCAACGTAAACAATGTAATCCACAGCACAGAGACTGTCAGCGTGGAAGACAAAGCACGTATTTCTGTGTTGCTAACCGCATAATTAGCGTGATAAGGTCAAGCCAAAACGCACAGAGACTGTCAGCGTAGCATCTTACACACGTCTAACAAATGCGGGTCAAACACAACCTTTGTATAACTTACTTTAAGTATAGTCCGTTATATGTCGCAATGATCCGGCCCAGGCGGAGCGTCTACCAGAGGTATAAATAAGGAGGAAACCTAATCAGTGGGATGCTCCTCAGCTGTGTGCATCGACAAACGAGTCGCCAATCACCGAGTACAACACAGCTGAGGTGCTGAATCCTGCAGATCAAGAAAACAGAGGAGAGAAAGGTGGAGGAGAGAAAGGTGGAGGAGAGGCAGACAGAAGTTAGGTTTTTGGGAAGGCTTACTTGAGAAGACACTGATATAACATCAGATAAAAACATATTTAATATAAAAAACCTATAAAGTTTTTAACCTTTTAGACATTGACTAGAACCTTACCTGGAAAATAATTACCTGTGCTTGTTTTCATTGTATGTTTCGGTTTTCAGCAATGTATTATTTTGTGTGCATTTTATTGCAGAAATGTGTAAAATGTGAGTGTCTGCGGGGGGAGGGGTGGTTAATGGGAAAGGGTCAAATGCTTTATCAGCAATCTGAAAGAGCACTTAAACACTTGTCAGTGTGATTTATCAGTCCCCTTGAATCTTCACAAAACAATAAGACTACTCCGATTGTTCTGTGTGTGTCTGTGTGTGTGTGTGTGAGTGTGTGTGTGTCCAAGGTCTTGAAGGTTTAAAGTTCAGCTCAGGCTTCTGTTCTCTCCTTTCCACTGCGAGCATATGTTGAAGCACATTGAAGCTCTGCTGTCACATACACATCCAGCTCATGTCAAAAAGAAAAGAGCGCCATATGTATGTGCCAAGTGAGGACTGAGATGTGTCACATCAAAGTGGATGACATTATTCTGGCGCAGAATCAAAGCCAACCTTCTCACAGAGACACCTGTGTACAGCACATTTCCTTCGGGTAAAGAACATGCAGAGACACAGAGAACGCCACACGGCATCCAGGCAGACAGGAATGTGCCAGCAGCCTATATTCACCCCTGGAAACCTGAGGACAGAAGGTCAATGCAAACAGTTCCCAACTGAGGGATTTTATTCAAATAGAGTGCATACAGTATGTGTCTGTGGATTTGGTTGCAGCTGGCAGCTCTTTTCAGAAAACAAAACTCTAGAAAAAGGCAGGTGAATACACACAGCACTCTCAAAGAATGACCATGTTGCTATGTAGCTGTTAAACAACTGCTGCCTGACAGTCAGTAAGTCCCAGGTCAAGACCAACATGTCTTAGAAGGGTTTCAAAAGCTGCATCACTATCCAACAAGCTGTTCTAATAGCATATACTAGTCACTTAACCATGCTTGGAAGAAGTGCCTCTTTCTCACTGAACAATTTCCCCATAGAGACTGTGTGCACACAACACAAATGAAACAGTGAATAGATATGGAACAGGAACGTCTTTTCTGATCATAGGTTAATATACTGTATATATATACATATATACATATATATATATGTATGTATATATGGTTGCCACAGGTTAACCACACAGAGACACTCACTCACACTCACATTCACACCTACAGGCAGTCACCAACTAACCTAACCTGCGTGGGAAGAAGGTGGAATACCTGGCATAAATACAATATATACACTGTTTGGAGAGCAGCTAACTGTGCCCTTAACCTTTGATCAATTCAGGTGTTTCTTCACATGATGTGAATTTTGTTTTTTTATACATCTCTTTGAACAGACTGAAATGTGAGCAAAATAGTGTCAGTGTGTGGGTGTGTTGTTTTCTTTGCAAGCTCATGTTATAAAGCTGAACCTGATCTCATTTGACATGGCCCCAAATCTAATGGTGTATCACTGTACATGCCCTCAAAACAGGATGATGTTATGACTTGCCCCGCATTCCCCCTGTATGACATGTAGCCATAGGGCAAGTGCCTCAAGATCACACAGCAAATCGTTATTTTCCACTGGAAAGTGAACACAACCTTTCTTTATCACCACCAGTGGTAGCACATGTGCAGTGATCTAAAATATATGAGTACAATCAATATAATTGGGCTGTAACTGGCATTAGTCTGAGAAGGTTCCAGGTTCGAGCCCCTGCCAACCCGATGCCTTTCTGTAGGGGGTTTGCATGTTCTCCCTGTACCTGTGTGGGTTCTCTCTGGCTACTCCGGCTTCCTCCCACAGTCCAAAGACATGCAGCTTAGGTTGATTGGTGACTCTAAATTGCCCACAGGAGTGTGTGTGTGTGTGTAGGGGGCCAGTTGGTCAGCCCTGTGATGGACTGGCCAGGGTGGACCCCGCCTCTCGCCCAGTTTCAGCTGGGATTGGCTTCAGCCCCCCCACAACCCTGTTCAGGAAAAAGGCGTATAGATAATGGATGGATCGTTTCTTCCTCACAGAAGTGGGGACATTCATATTTGGTCAAAATTAACACTTAACAGACACAAAAATGATTCAGCGCAGCCAAATATTTATTAAACTTTGTCAAATTTATACCATTCATCCACAGAAATACTTTGGGGCCAGTTAGGTGCAGGGAATGAAATTATTATAAAACAGCTGCCACAGAGGAAATCTTGAGCTTTCGGGACAATAATAACAAATGTGCTAGTTGCAGTAGTACAGCATGCTCTAATATCATATGATTTCGTGTTACCCTTTTTACCTTCGGATTACTCATGCTCCGAAGTGTTGAGAATTCACGACAGCACCTGAATGTCGCAGTAATCGGTGCACGGCACCAATTTACGACACTGGGCTTTACGACACTGAAGTACTTCTTACATGGCGCTGCTTAGATGATATCAAGGAAGCAACGAGACACAGGAGAGAAGAGGGTTTTTCACGCATTTTGTTGATACACAGTTCGTCCATCTATCGTCACAGTTGTCCGCTGAGCTCAGGCAGAGGTAGTGAGACATTTTGTTGATACACAGTTCTTCCATCTATCGTCACAGCTCTCCGCTGAGCTCAGGCAGAGGTAGTGAGAAACAGGCACGGGTTTATGAGGTGACATGGCGGCGCAGGGGGGCATCCAGATCCAGGAGAAGGTCGGGAGGCTGCTCAGCAAACAGAACGGAAAGCCAGTACTGAAACCTAACAAGGCCCTGGTTCTGAAAGATGCTGTAGGCAACCGCAAACCCAAGAAAGGAGGTAAGAATACAGACTGAAGGTCGCTCATTGTTCTTACTGAGCCTGAATGGAGGGAGACTTGATAAGGTCATCAGCAGCGAGATACAGCAAAGGCTGCTCAGCAACATGCCACCGGACATGTCCCGGTCCGGGACATTCAGATGCGTCAAACCAACACACTGTGGAGGATTTGAGGATTGTACATAGTAGTAACCAGGGTTGGGCAGTATGTAAACCTGGTGCTGTGACCATAGACAGTCAGATACTGTGTAGCTACTGGTTTATTTCATGGTAAGCGTGTGTGATTTTAGCAGCCTAACCATGCATCCATCCATTTTCTGCTGCTTATCCTGCTCCAATGTGTGTAGTGATTAACAATAAAGGATAATACCAGTTATTTCTGTATTATTAGTATTCTCAACAGTCCCCATGCGGACATAAACACCAACAGCTTCTACTCACAGTTAATGTCTGACAGTCTCCATCCTGGATCAGCTTATTCATCTGTGTTTTTACAAAATGACACCAGACATGCATATTGTGAGATCTCCATGACAGCAGATTTAATGTTTATTATCTACAGAAGAGTCATAGCAACATTTAATAAAATACATTGAAATCTGCAGCCACGAGCTTAAACCATAGACATCCTGCAGCTTGTTAAGATACTGCTGCTTATGTTGGGTACTAAAATAGATTGGATCAAAGGCTAAACAACGTTTTTCTCTGCAGAGGCCACCTGTGTCCCAGAGATGTCACTCCTCATGGCCTGTTGGAAGGACAACAACTTTGTAGATGGTCTGTGCTCTAATGAGATAAACACCTTCTACACTTGTGTGGAAAAGGCACAGGTATGTTCACATAGGTCCTGAAGTCACACGCAAAAAAACCTTTCTTTCCCAGTGTACACTGGGAAAAACACATACAGGAAGTATCACAGACAAAATAGTTTTCACACACTAGGGCTTGGCAATATTGATGGGAAAAATGATCACAATATTAATCTTCTTACATCTGTAAACTATATGGCAAGATGGCAAATGCATGCAAATTCAGATAATCAGATCTCAGCTGTTAACTGCGAGTGCATTGTTTTTCTTACTGACAGTAATAGTTGTTTAGCATTGTTTTGGGCTGCCAATGTGCAAAACGTTCATGGTTTCATTTTAATAAACATATATTCTCTTTCACAGGCTGCTATGAAGAATAAATCTGAACCGACCAACCTCCAGGGAGAACGTCTACCCCCAAAACTAGCCAACACCCTGCTGAAGAGATTTCCCAATTTGCGCACTGAGATCTAACATACTAACTTTGTAATGAATTTGGTATATGGACTTGACATATGAAGGTGAAGAAGAGGCCACTGGACTGAGTGTTGGAATTGGGTTTCATCACATTAAGATGATGTCACAAAAGAATAAAGCACAACACTGAAAAGTGTGATTTCAACACTGTACTCCTCCTTCACAGCATCAGGTTTCCATAGGTTATTCAATCATTTCATATTGCTGACCGGTTTTCTATAATGGTATCGCATTTATATTCACAGCATGGTGCATTTTATGGCTTTCTGCCAGTGTCCTAATTTGGCTCTGATGAAAATGCTGGCATTTTGTCTCAATTCAATTTAGCAGAGTGGTTTCATTCATTACAGAGATGTTATTTGTGGATGTGATGGAATTACTCTTCTTAGGTTTCATGACTCCTGGCCGGGAGCTCGCTGTTGTCTCTGAGTGCTTCGATGCCTCATCATTCCTGTGGAAGCTCAGATCGTGGTTAGCAGATGATGAAGTCATTTCTGCCTATCAGACAGACAGGCTTACACAGATTACCAGTAAGCAAAGATGACCTTCCTGAATGGATTGAAACTGTATTTTCCTACGACGTTATGGACTGTGAAGGGTTCTGTTTCCAATCGTGTCCGAATCAGTCATTTAGTTAATAATTCCAGTCTTTTTGCTAAGCTTGGACTGGAAAGGAGCATGTCTGCAGTTGGACTGATCCTTTGATGCTTTATTCTTTATTAACCACCTGCCTCCCTTTGGAATTCTTTCCCATGTTCTAGTTTCATCCTGGGTTTTCTTGCAGTACATTTATTTCAGGCAGAGATATTGACATGTTAATGATGTGGTAGGTGTGGATTTGGCTTTATGTTTTGTCTTGGACGGCGGGGTTGTGTCATGTTTGGACCATTGCCAGAATATGGTATTTTGCTGTGTCCTCGTTTATCTGCCCGCCATTAACAAGCATTTCCCCGCCCTGCTTATCACTTCCTCCTAAGCATCTACAGCACAAAGGAAACACCACCACAGCCCGCAGTAATCACCGTGTCACTCTCACATACACTTAAGGCTGCTTGTTCACTCCTGCATGCCCAAGTGAATAAGCAGCCTACGTTTAAAAGTTTAAGGCTGCTTGTTCACTCCTGCATCTAAAAGTGAATAAGCAGCCTACGTTTAAAAGGGGACAATGAAACCGATGGTCACCTCTCACAAAACGAGAGGTTTACGTCCTCAGGCCATGGCAACAAAAGCGTTTGATGGAATTTGAGGGACAGTTTTGCTGTTTTTAAATCTGTGCCACTAGTGGGGTTAAGTGACTAATTTAACCTGAGGCCGGCATCAGAGGGGAAAGGTCATGGTGTGTACTGTGTGGCATAAATGTTTATCTAAATTGTAAAGCTTTGCCTTTTGTGCTCAAAATAATCAAACACTTTTTGCTCAAAGTATCAAAACACATACTGTACAAAAGTCACATATATGAGCTACAGTCCCACACTTCAACTCCCATCACACCACAGATGTTGCATATCAGTGGAGTGGAAGAAGTACTCGGATCCTTTATATTAGTAAAAGTACTGATCCCACAGTGTAAAAATACTCTGGTACAAATAAAACTCCTGCATTCAAAATGGTACTTAAGTAAAAGTACAACAGTATTTGCATCAAAATATACTTGAAGTACCAAATGTAAAAGTATGAATGCATTATTATGTACATCACTTTATAGTTGCATACTGTGTATATGGAATTCATTTTAACTATCCTATGTGCTGTTTTGATTTTAATAATTATAATTTAAAGAACTGCTGGGAATCATTTTCCACCCAGGTTCAACAAACGTTTATGATTATGCTGTATTTGGGCTTATTCATCTGATTCTGAAAAGTAACTACATTTATCCAGATAAATCTAGCAGAGTAAAAGTTTAATATTTGCCTCAGAAATGTGGGGAAATATTTCTACACTAAGTATAAATACATAAAAACTGTACTTAAGTGCAATACTTCAGTAAATGAGCTAAGTTACTTTCCGCCTCAGTTGAGGTGGGTGATATTAAGGGGATGATGTGGAGACTACAGGCATGCTGATACTGTATCCCATCAGCTCCTGGTGTCTGACCGTGAAGGAAATATTTAATTTGCCAATTATGGCTATACCAAAACAATTATACATATAAAACCTATTAAAACAAAAAAAAAAACACTGATGGTGCTACCATCTGCTAATCAATAAATACATTACCTTTTTAATCCCAAAGTGACATGACAGAAAAGCCCAGTGTGGAGGGTAAAGTGATGCTGCGAGGCTGTGTAACAGGTCAGACTACAGACAGCTCCCAGTGCTGACATGAGGTCTAATAAATAAAACAGTTTCTTTTTATTTAAACAATGCAGTATCTCTTCAGTTAAACACGCATCTAATTATCTGTGTTATCTATAGAAATCAGCCTTTTTTAGATATAAATGATCACATTAAAGACCCTGAGATCCTGTTCTTATGAATGGCAGGCTTTCATGAATACACAGCTATAATAGTTTGAGTTATTTTGCATTACTGACTTCTCTATTTGTGTGCTTTTTAGTGGATTTTATAGCAAAATATCATAGTAAGGGTCAGGCAGGTGGTTAAAGTTAATGAAAGCATGAGGACTGCAGCTCTGTGAACAGATGCAAACTGCAGGCAACAGAATGAGACAGTTGACACGTTACATCCGCCACCCAAACCTCTGCACCTCTTAGTCACAGCTGTGAGAGAAACATGTTGTCTAACTGGACCTATTGATTGTAGCCTAGCTTAACAAGAAACATAGAACTGGAACATATTGTAGGTCTATGCTGGGCAACTGGACATGGACTATCACCCCCGAGTTGGTAAGGACAAATGCAGATACACCGTTGCTATGTTGTCTGTTCTGGCCAACACAATCCTGACACCGTTTAATAAACCTGTAAACAATTACTTCAGATGTTAACTTATGGAGCTATGCAAGAGAGCAATTAATGCCTAATAATAATACACCTGAGTCTCCAGTGATAGCGTTTAGCCACAGCTTAATACTGACACTGCAATCACTTTACTTGATCTACTTAATACAGTCCATCCAAAATGATCAGTAAACAATTTATAAAGCTACTCAGTGACTGCCTTTGAAAGCAGTTTTGTTGTTTTTGTTGGACCCCCTGTTAATGGGTTATTAGAATTTATTTAATTGTGTGCTGTTTC